CCCTGGCTGTTCCCCTGTGCCAGGGGGTTCCCTCAGCACAGCTACACCACAGACGGGGCTGCACAGCCCCTCGGTCCATTTGGGGTCCTCTTCAGCGTGGGGGGAGCCTCTGGTGACTGAGGGCATTAATTTTCTCTGTCTGTATTGTTCTTTACTGTCTGTTGTGTCTTTGCCATATGGTCTCTATGTGGTGCTTGGCTTTGCAGCCAGCTGATTTCTGAGTGGTGGTGTGAGCAGCAGGACACAGCCTGCCCTGAGCCAGCTGCTCTTTGAGTGTCACCCCTCAGGGCTCTGGGAGGCTCTTTGGGGAAGGCTGAAGGCAGCAGGGTCCAACTTTGTGCCTTGTTTCTGCATTTAAGGTTAATATGCAGGCATACAGACATGGGATTTTAAGACTGTTCCCTTGTTTAGGCTCATTGCAGGGTAAACTTAATGATGTCATGTTATCTGGAGCAGCACTTGGATGAGAGATCTGTGATGAGCTGAAGTTGACCTGCATAGGTCTCAGAGCAAGATGCAGAGCATTTGAATATGCCAGCTGGAAAGCCTTTGCTGTTTCCTTTCTTCCCCCTCTAACACTGACAATCCCATAATGTGCCTCTGTGTAGGACTCAGAGGTTCCAAGGAGCAGGAGGTTTGTGTGGCATTAGGCCTGTTAAGCCATTCAGACAGCCCTGATGTGCCAGTAATCCCTCTGTTCACCAAAGCTGGGCAGCAGCTCCTGCAGCACTCCTGCCTGCTGCACTCCCTGTGCTCAGGGTGAGCAGTGGCTTCATCAGGGGCTGAAATGCTTTGGGGAGCATAAGCCCTGGCCAGTGCTGGTGGGAGGCTGGAAGGATTCCTGCCCCCCTCCTATCTCAGGCAGCATCTCTGGACAGCGCTTGGAACAGAACTCACCCCGTTAGAAGCACACACAATTAACTAATGAATTCAGTTTATCCCACGGGTTGAACTGGAGCTGCCTTCTCCCTTCGAATGCCCAAACCCTCCTTTGTACAGGCTGGGAATGCAGCTGAGGATGGATTTATTCCAATATCCCTGGAGTTTCAGAGGTTCCTGAGGATTAACCCAGTCTGTTTTGCACCCTCCTGTACCCAACCAGCTTAATTCCAAAAGCTAACCCAGGAGAGGTGGCTGTGTGCTCTGCAGGCCACACTGGATCCAGCTGTCCTTGCTCTCTGGTTCTGCAGGAATGCAGGCACATATTGCAGGAGCAGTTTGCTGACAGAACAAAGCTGGGCCCTCCCAGCTCAGCCCCAGATGTCAGCCCTGCTGCACAGCACAGCCCTCACCACTCCAGCTCTGAAGGCCCCTTCACATGGAACCCATCAGCTTCAGCAGCAGCAAAGTCTGGGCCATGTTTTGATACGAGAAAACTCAGAAGGTCCATGCAATTCCTGACAGTCTTCAACTGCTGATGACAAAAATACGACAAAAAAGTCTTTCCCACTCCTCTAGGGATGTAAGTCCTACCCTGTCCCTCCAAACGAGGGAGAAGGTGAATACACAGCTGGCCCTGAACTTAAGGAGTGGATCTGCACTTTCGTTAACTGCCTGGACAGTGAATGAGTTCAAATATCCAGAGCACTATTCGTTTTATCTTCAAGCTCTGGAAATTTCATCTTGCTCTGTAATGATATGGAAAAAACAATTCAAGCAAAACAATGTGCATTTACAGAAAAATCAGAATAATAAAATATCAGAATAATATATCCCAGGATCTGCTTAATCCCTGAAAATGGAAGGATAAAGCATTCTTGATACATCAAAAGCAAAGCTGTGTCCAGTAGGTCCTGAGTTTCAGTCCATTTTGGGAACTGTTCAGCAGTGGCAGGGGAAGGGCACACACTGCTGGGGTGGATGGGAAGCAGGAGAGATGGTGCAGATTAATGTTCTCCTGCGACCAGAGGGGCTCAGCACGTCCAAGTAATTGCCTGCAAATTGGCAGATGGCTGTGGTAAAAGGATTACCATGAATCAAGTGAGATGGCAAGTGTAACAAAGCAATAGCAAGCAAAAACAATATTGCTTTTCTCATTCCAATTAAAAACTAAGTGAACACCAATAGCTTTGAAGCATAATGAGTGACAGCCAGCTCAGAGCTCTTCATGCCAGCTCAGAGCTTCCCCAAAGCTTTCCTTCCCCTTCTCATCTCCTGGCCTGACCTCTCTGGACGAATTCGAAGATGAGCTCGTATTGTTCAGAACAAGCTCACCCACGAGAAGGATGTGATGTGGCATGAGATGTATGGCATTTTTATCGATGAGCTCCGTTGGTCCCTTCATTCTCTCTATCTCACACTAATTTAAGAGCATTTTCAGTAATAAGAGTTTCCCAAGAGTGTCTGGCTTCTCCTTTCTGTCTCTTTACTCCATTTCCTTGTTAGTTCCTTTAGTTCTCACTCCACTGCTTCCCCCCCCAGCAGTTGGGGGCTATTTTCCAGTGACTGCAGAGGGACTGGGTCTGGGAGCATGATTCGTGCCTGGCTGGGGTCCCCGAGCCAAGCCCTGCCAGCACCACACTTCGAGGAGAGCTGGCTCCAGCTGCCAGACAGGACAGGCAGCTGCTGGGAGCAGCAGCACTTCAGTGGCAACAAATCATCCCAAACCAGTTCTTGGACAAGAGGGAGATGATAAGTGCAGGCTGGTAGGGAGGAGGTTTGCCAGCTGGCTGGGGCAGCAGCACTGCTGGAGCCAGCTCTGTCTCAGCTATCGGGGTAAGGGAGGCAACAGAGGAGTGCGTGGGCCAAGCCAAAGAGATAATCCTGGCTGTGGCAATAGAACATGTCTGGATGCAGGTCGGGGGGGCTGGCCTGTGTGAAGATAGCTGGAAGAGGGTGAATTCCCAATGGATGTACCATTGGCTCAAAATGGCCAATAAATCTGGGACTGCTGGCCAGCTCTTCTCGGCAGGCGGCTCCTCACAGCCTTGAAACTGGAGATGAATGAGGACAAAGGTATCGTGGGTTTGATTAGTTCAGAAATCACATTTTTCCCCATCACTTTGAGGTGATTCCAGCTGACAGCCCTTGCCAGCTGAACGCAGCCTCAGACAGCCCTGCCAGCACAGGGTTTGTTCTGGGAGAAGGGAGTCTAACCCAGTTCCAGCGTTCCAGAACCCAACCTGTGCTCCTTGTGGTTTATGTAGCGGGTCCTGCACGAGGGCAGAAGGAAAGGCTTTAGACTGTCAGTAGACACGAAGCAGGAAACTCCCCCCCAAATGGCTCCTGCAAGTGCAAAGAAGCGAAGAACCCTGTGCGGGGGTGTTACGGAGTGAGCAGAGGGTAGATGTGGTGACTCAGTGCAGCCCAGACCTGGCTGTCACCAGTCCTTCACCCTCGGGCCGGGGCGGATGGCAACTGCTGCACTGCCACTCTGTGGTGGGATGGAGAAGCAGATGCAAGGAAAACTTTCCGAAAACAGTGACAGAAAGGAGGAGCTGCGACTGAGCTGTGGTTTAACTCGGCCCAGCTCGGGCACCGGGTGCCCCCATCTCTGAGCCCAGCGACCACCCGGTGTCGGCTCTGCAGGGAGAAGGGTCACGGGCTGACCTGGAGGTGAGTGACCTCCAGGCCCTTTGGCCAGAGTGAGTGAGTGTTCCCAAAGCACTGCTGAGCTCCCCAGAGTGCCACCCTCCAACATCTCGAGAACCAGGACATGGCCAGCCTTTGGAGCTTGAGCACTTCATCGGCTTCACCCGAATCTGAACTTGACTTTACTCCAAAGGTTTTTTATGCTGATCAACTCAAGAATCCATGAATTTCTCTTTTTTAAAGTCAGAGGTGTCACTTTCCCAAAACAAAGCATATTCTTGAATCTATTTCTCAGACTTGAGCTTCATGTTCCCATATCAGGGACCATTATGAAATTAATTCATGACATCAAAATTAAATCAATTTACAGTCCATGCATGCCACATGCACACAAGTTGCTATTCCAACCCTGGCCAACAGTACTGGCGTGATTTCCCTGGCTGCAGAGGAGCATTATTCTTGCAGTATGGCCCTTGCATGGGGACTGGAAAAGGAACAATATTCTGCTTTTATTAGCCCAGATACAGCAGACTTCTTCATGTGGCCAGTATCTGCACAGCTTTGCTGCTAGGACACTGTCAGCCAATATTTACATCATGTCTTGCCCAAGAAATGTTGTGTTTGCTGAAAAAACACATTTGCAAATGTAAATGTAAAAAATGTAAAAAACAGAGGCTGGTTTGACAAGAACTCAGTTCATGGACTGCTAAATGTTTCCAACTGATCTGGTCTCAGTGACTCTAAGGTAGAGTCAACAAGATATCATGGCAGATAGGAAGGGACAAAAATGGGGGAAGAACTCAGGGGGGGCAAGAGCACACACTGGGGGAAAGTAGGAGCCTGGCAGTGGATGTAGCTGTAGTTGAATTTTGTATTGTCACAAATAAATGTTTATCTTTAAGAATTACCCAACAGTTTTAAAGTTTAGAAGTGACTGGTTGGATGCTGGTCCCGTAATCTGGCGGGCAGAAGAGCACCGAATTTAAGGACAGCCCAAATGCCCCATTCAGATCTGTGCTCAGTCCTTAACTCTGGAAAATGTGCTCGAACACAGAAGGGGCTGGAAAATTCTCATCTTCAGTTTTTTGTGTATTCTGTATCAAAAGAGTCATTTGTGCAATTAGCTGACAGACTTGGAAGATTTACTCTTTGTGCTACATCATTATCTCAGCAATCCCTGACCCCTATGAAATGCAGAGCTTCCTCTAAGGTTACAGTACAACAGATATTTATATTGCAGATGAAATTTTGTTGCTATGATTGAGATTTCCTCAAATACACATATAATCTCTATGCAAAAAAAGGCATCACTCACTGGAATGTGAATGTGTAACTTCCTAAACCACTTGCAAGGGTTTTATGCAGCCAGATTGTCACCATAGTGCTTAGAACTGAGAGTTAGGCATTTTTAATAATTTAATAATTAAATTTTAATAATTTAATTTAATAATCCTCTTGTGCTTTTCTAGTGCATCCTTGTGACTGAAATCCAAGGCTCAGGAGTTCGTATCCTCACTGAAGCCCCACAGCAGAACTGAACTTCAGGAAAGAAGTCCTGGGCATACCAGGTAATGTTAAATTCCTGACATTGTTCCACTGAGCTGCCCAGAGGGAGAATGAGCTGGAACAAAGCAGAACTTGGGGACCCAATATCTAGGCTGTGTATCCAGGCCTGAATCTTTCTTGCAGTGCTTCCTACACACCTGCTGATGTTTCTTTCTGCCTTCAAACCCTGACTAACCCTTTGCCAATGTCCAGAGATCATCAGAGGAACTGACAAAGGGATCATAATTTCCTTTTTTAATCTCCACGTGGATATGACGCATCTCTTAATTCTCCCAGCTAAAAATTCTGCAAGAGGTGAGGAGGCAATAGGTGCAACAGATGCCACTGGGTTCAGAAGCTTTACAGAAATAATTAGTGCTGGAAATTGCAACTACTAAATTACTCTGGTTTAATGTGCTACTGGCTGGGCTGTGGCCCTGCACTTTGCCCCAGGCAGGAGGTGGAGCAGAGAGCAGGAACTGCCACCTGCTCCCAACCCACTCCTCTGTCCTGATCCCGATCCCGATCCTGATCCCATCCCTGCACCCGCACAACGGGCTGGGCATGGCTCGGCCTCGGGGCTTGGTGGTGTTTGGGGGAGGAATAATGCTGAGAGCAGAGCCAAACTGTGCATTCAGTGCCTGTGGCACTGTTCAAGGGGAGCTGGAGCCCCCAGTCAGGCCGAGGGCTCTTCTCTCACCTCTCCTGACTGCTGAGCATGAGGCAGGGTGGCAGGGGGGGAGCTGGGGAGAGCCCTGCAGCTCTGCAGGGAAACCACCCCAGGAACAGGGCAAGGACTGACAGAAAACAAATGGGGCAGTCAGTGAGCTGAGGGAGTGAGAAAAAGAGCCAAAGGTTTTACAGGTATGTTCTGAAGTAACAAAGGTATGAATTAAGGTGCTGAGGTGTGATGCTAAGTCCTTCTGGGGCCCTTGCACATCCTGAGAGGGTCCCTGCCCACAGGGGCAGTTCCTGCCTCAGCACTCACTGAGCCTGACACAGAAACAGCACCTGAACCCCCACACCCAGGAGCAGCAGGGACACGACTGACCCCCTGGGAAACACTCACAGCCCTGCTCTGAGGGGGGACTCTGGCCTGGAGCTGCCTGGGCCTTCACAGCTGCTTAACTCCAATCACCAGGAGAAATCAGTGCTGCAGATACAGCTGCAGAAATTCCAGAAATTCCTGCTCCGGGTTGCCTGTGATGCAAATCAGGGTGTGAGCCTGGGAGAACCAGCACTGATGCTAATCTTTCTCTGCTTCCTTGCAAAAGGAAGGCTTGCTTGTCTTTAAAGAAAATGTGGTTTACCCTCAATTTCTCAGAAAAGAGCAGATAATTGGATGCTACCAACTGGCACAACCCCATGGATGTCCCCAAGCACTTAATTTGCAGGGTGATTTCTGCATTACCTGGTGGGAGGGACTGGCAGGAGGCCCCACCCGTGCCGCAGCAACCAGGGTCAGATGGAGCATTGCCTGGTGATTAACTGCAATACTGTATCTGAACAACCTGCACTGTCCTAATCATTGAGTCCAGTCCTCTGGCACTCCCTTACTGACTGTCTGAATGCAAGTTTCCTGCCCGGAAGGAAAACTTCTCTGTTTTCCAAAGGTACCGTTGTTTGCACCTTTCCCAAATTCTGGCAAAATGTGTTTGACAGTAACTCCACAGTCAGGGATTTGCCACAGCACTTTTAGATCTCCAGATGTATTCCTTATTTTCAAGTCCAACACATATACTGCAGTTTAACTAAGAAAAAACAGGTTTTTTCTCATCTGTCATCTCTTTATCACTCGCTCTTGGTGAGGGACCAGGGAATTCATGGGAGGCAGATGCTGCCCTCAGCTCCAGTGAGGAGATTATTTATAGTGTCCTGCAAGAGCTACACCCTGGCTGCCCATGCCAGGCAGTTGTTACAAGCATGTGCCACTTTTCTGAAGGAGTCCGTATTACAAACTCCTCCTGGATTTCTAGCACATCACTGGGATTATAAATACTGCTGAGGTTAGAAATCAGATGAACAGCTCTGTCTAGTGGCAATTGCAATAACTACATTAGAAGGTCGTTATTTCTAACAGAATTCAGCCCATATGTGTTGAATAAAAGGAGTTTAAAAATAGCTGCTTGGCTTGCTTTTCCACATGACAAATGCTCCGAGTACTTCTGGAGACACGGGATAAACATGTGAGGCCACACTCTGCCATGAGCTTTCTGTTCTTTTAAGAGCTTTGCTGCCTTTATTTAATTTTCAGCAAAAGCAATAAAAATCCCTGAGGTTTTGCCATTCCCAAAACTGTGGTTGGGATCTGGAGGGCCCTGTGCTTCCCTCCCGCTGAGGTGTTTGGTGCTGGATGCCCCAAATCCATCCCAGCTCACCGGCCCATCGTATGGTACAGGATCAGGAGTCACTTTGGTTTGGGTTTTGGGCAAGTTCCATGGTACTGCTCTGTAGTACTTAACAAAACCACACCAGTGGGGAAATGACTCTGGACATCGCCAGAAACTGGGGGTGGGGGATCCCCCACTCGATCAGTTTTAAGGCTGGACGGGTCCCAAGACTCAGGTGAATGTGCTGGACCCCACAGCTGGTTAAACCCCGTTTGTGCTCTGCTGTGGGACTGGCACTGAGCAGTCGGGGTGGGGGCAGAGCTCCCTGCTCACGTGCTCCTGGTCCTCAGCAGCTCTAAGGTGTCACCTCTGGAAAGTCTGAGCAGTCTCACACCCACCCACTGGGTCTGGCTGTCCCTGCTCTGTCCCACGGGCCGTGAGCTCAGCGAGGTGAGAGGCTTTGGGAGCCCAGAGCCCCCACCCGCCTCCTCCACACCCCCCCACCACTCCCATCGACCCTAATCGCTGCTTAGAGAGGGATTCAAAGTGCACTTGTATGTAAGATGGTGGTGGTAAAAAACCACCTTTCTACCAAAAGGGAAAATGGCTGTGAAGGGGGAAGGTAGTGAAGCTGCTGGCATTATAACTGAGTGGTTTGTGTTGGACATGTGTGTGTGCACCTGGATCTGAGACTACGACTGCTTGTGTTAACTGTGCTAAATCAGGATTAGTAAGCACAAATAATAAAGAGAGTGCATAAATTATTTCGGGGTAAAGATTCAGCATGTATCCTTGTTTAGCAACTTCAGCTTACTGATCAGAGGTCAGAGCCCAAAAGAGGGAAGGAGAGCTCACCAGCAGTTGCTCCAGATTTCGGATGAGCTGACAGCAGAGAGCACTGTGTGCTGCCTGTGTGCCCAGGTCAGAGCTAAAGAGCAGATGCTGCAGATTGCAAAACAAGTGGCACATCCTTTCATATTTAAATCTCTCTTGAAACAAGGACTCTGCCCTTTCTCACCAGGCAAGGCTTTACTCCTTACCACGGCAAGCAGGTAGAGACAGAAATAAAGCCGTGACTAGCCGAGAGTGCAGCACAACTTTCATATGGAACCTAAACTTGCAGGTTTGTCTGAAATCTCCAGGGAAGCCAAGAGACTTTTACAAAGGAAGGAGTTCCTGTTAAATTTGCTCCTCCCTGCAGCAGCATCGCAGCAGTCCTGGCTCACTTTGCATAGCAAAGCCTGGAGATAAGGGAGAGAAATGCTCACGGAAACCTGCAGCTCCCTGCCCGGGAGCGATTCCGCACTTACATTCCACTGCTTTTCTGGACCGTGGCTTTATCCCGGTTCCCTGCAAGTGCTTTCTCTGTGTGCCCCATCACCTGGGCTGTTGCCTTTCTCTGTCACACCCCAGATTGAATCTGGAGAATTGGGTTTTTCAGTTATTTCTGTCCAACATTTTGAAACTGCAAGTCCTGGATCGTGTCTCCTTTCTCTCCCTCTCCCTTGTGCTGGATTTTCTTTCTTAGATCTCCTTCTTTAAGTTGTGACTCATTTCACTCTTTGAGAGCTCTCATTTGGCATCTCCCATGCTGTCTGCCTGCCAATTCCTTGCAATCCCCATGTCTCTCTGCACTATGTTCCTTGGCCACTTGCCAATTCTCAGGCTTTAAACTTCAGTATTTCTAGGATCTGCTCTCCTGAGATTTTTTTTCCTTTTTTATTTCCTCTCCATTTTTAATATTTCTAACCATTTCTCCTTTGACCCTGTGCTGAACTCTCTCTAGGCACAAGGAAATAAGAAGGTTCTTTTGTGACCTGAGTTGGAGCAGATGGAATTCCGAAAGGGTGGTGTAGAGGTTTGTTTCAATATGCTCCTGGAGGCTTTGCCCAAAGTGCAAGGGGCTCTCAGCTGCCTCTTTAAAGAGCAAGGTCTGTAGATAAACTGAAATTCAGAGTTTTAATATGCTCCAATGGTCTATGTATGCTAAACACTTCCATTTTTGACAGCCTTGGGAAGGTAAGAGATGACAGGCAGTGTTGTTCTTGCAGCTTTATTGTGTTCTTCCTATTTGCTATAAAGGGCATTTCCCACAAACAATCAAGTACAACTGAATGAGGGATGCTTGCTAATTTACAGGGGAGAAGAAATTCAGAGATGTTTTTCCATGTCAACCCTTTGATCAGTACTGCAAATTTGGAGTGAGTTTGTCAGTTCAAATGCTCACATCTGTGCCTCTTTACTGATGGCAGTTCCTCTGTTCTCCTTACAAACACATCTCTGAGTCTTCCTTCAAGCTCACTTCTGCTCTGAAATTCTGTTACTGCTCTTGTGGTTCCAGTTCCTATCAAAGGGCTGGTTTGCTGCTTTTTGATATAACAAAAATGTCTCTGTCGATAACACATAGAACAGACTTGCATATTGTAGCATTAAATGGTCACAGTCATTCTCTCATGCTCTTATTTTCCCTTACAATCCCAGACTGGTTTGGGTTGGAACGGATCTCAAAGCCCATCCAGTGCCACCCCCTGCCATGGGCAGGGACACCTTCCACTAGCCCAGGCTGCTCCAAGCCCTGTCCAACCTGGCCTTGGACACTCCAGGGATGGGGCAGCCACAGCTGCTCTGGGCAATGGTTCCTAAAAGAAGAAGCCCTTGTGCCCACTCCAGCCAGACACCTAAGTCCTGTTGAA